TAACATATAGTACTTATCGATATATCGCATTGTAACAGAAAGATTTTCTTTAACATATATATATATATATAACTAATCAGTTAAGTTAAAAATATACATACAAAAAAAAAAAAAAATACATTAAACAATAAACAGAAAAAAAAATAAAGATTTAGTTTAGCTTAGTTGTATGTAATTTTTTGTTTTTATTTGTTTAGTTTAGTTTTTAAATTGTAATATCTTTAAAGTTTTGTAGGTTTTTGTTTTTAATAGATTACAATTACATTTACAATACATACATAATAAAAAAAATGTTTGTGTATGTGTGAGTTATTAAAAACTGGTAACTGATGTTTTTTTCTCTTTTTTAAATTTTTGTTTTTTGTTTTTCCTTTTGAAATATACATCAAAAATGTTATTATAATAGGCACATATAAAGCAATGACTAAATCAGATACATGTATACATATATATGTATATATATATAATATATATGTGTACATAGGTTGGTAGCATTAAATTTTGATTAGGTTTTTAGGTTCGCATTTCATTTTTATGTGTACATAGCTAAAGTATATAGCGCATATAGTATATGGTATATAATATATAATAGTATATGTACGTATATGTGTGTAGGTGTGGGTGTGTATGGATTGGTGTGTGCATGCAACTTGGCTAAAAGTTGTTTCGTTTACAACAAATTTCTATAAGCGTTATACATACGAATATGCATATACATATGTATATATATATATATATGTAGCTTTTGTTTTAGATACATGAAATAGTACTACATATATACCTAAAGACAGTCTTGTTTCTATGTGCGTGAGTTTGTGTGTGTGTGTGAGAGAGTATGCGTATGTATATATATGTGTGTGTATGTATGTATATATATAGCACAGTTGGAATTTACATAGAATGCAAAATGAACAAAAACAAAACCACTTGTATATAGTTTAGAAGTATATATATATATAAATATAAATATGTATGTATGTGTGTGTGTGTGTGTGTGGGTATGCATGTACATATATATGCACACATAAATAAATTTTTGTGTTGTTTAATAAAGTTTTCTCACTTAGCTTAACTAATGTACACTTTTTGTTTGTATAGAGCTTTAATAGATTTCATTTTGTTTGTTTTTATGCAACGGAATTTCTCTCTATATATATATGTATATATATAATTGCTGTATATATATATAAATATTTAGTTGGCTATATGCATAAAAAGCAATTTGTATTTGTTTTAACTTTTCAAGTTGTTTCGTTTAATTGAGTGTGTATATATGTGTGTGTATGTGTGTATGTGAATGCCAAATGAGTCTATAATTTCGAATTCATAATTTCTTTTTCGGAATTGTGCATGCAGCTTATAGCTAGCGGGTCCTTAAGGACTACATCAGACGACAATTCAACCACAATATGCACAATCCTATATATAAACATATTTATAGGTGATTTTAGATGAAACATGCGAATTGGTTTTTGTTAGCTTTGTCTCTGTTCGATTTTGGTATTTCTAGGGTTGATTGTTTACGTTGGGTTTTCTTTCCTTCTTGATTCTTGTTTGTTTATATATTGTAAAAAAAAAAACACACATCAAACTCGTTAAATTCTGTTAGTTTTCTTAGTTTTTTTTGTTTTCTTTTGGCTCTACATACACGTCTAAATTGTTGTTAACATTGTATTTCTTTTCGAAAGTATAAATAAAAGTTTTAAAAAATTCGTTGTTAATAGTTTTTTGTTTTGTTTGTATTACAATATGTAGTTTAAGGAAACGATTAGGGCTTCTATTGCTGTCGAATATTGTAACGGTAACTAAGTTAATCGTTTAGCTAGTTGTTAAAGGATGCACACACGTGTATGCTGCACACAATATTCATGCATATATATATATATATATATATATATATATATATATATATATATATTAGATTCTGTTTTTATATATACTTTCGGTATTTTCTTCTTGAACTACACACATATCGTATTCCAACCAACTATATAAATATATATATATATATATGTATATATATAGTTAGCTTGAAGGTACATTTTATGTGCAACTGTATCTATAGCTATACATATATAGTATGTATATAATATATACATATAGCAGAGTAGCGAACAATATAGTACTCAGACCCAGTTTAGATAAGTTAATGTATGTATGTGTGTGTGTGTGTGTGTGTTCGCATTTGTGTATATAAACATTGCACTATAAATGTAGTTGGTGTTGTTATGCATTTGTTAAGCTGTTTTCTGTACTGTTTATAGACTAATAGTTGACTTGGCGTCGACCGCGTGGTTTGATGCGCTCCGATATCTGCCACATCTCCTCCTCGCCCATAAAATCTTTAAAGTTATCAAAGAAGCCAATGATGCGCTCATTGCGTCGAAACGGATATGTGCTGCAATAGATCGATAAAGATATATATATATATATTTAATATGATTCAATTGTCTATTTGAAGTACTTACCATTTCTTGAAGCGCTTCATATTCACTATAATATTGTATTGCTGCCAGCGTTTGGAGAAGTTAATCACGCCCTTGGACACATAGTCCTGATTGCCCACATGCACAAAGGTCAGATCCTGTAGAACCAGACCGCTGCAGGTGATACAAGGATATTGTTAATTGCAAATAGTCATATATAGTCAGTTATGGCTGATTTAGCTTACATATAGGGTATACAGGGTGGATTGGTTTCGGCCAGCGCTTGGCGATACGCACGAAAACTGGAACTCGAATCGATGAGCGCACAAAAGGAGCGCACCTCCTCCGCAATGCCCTTCTGCCACTCCAATCTGTTATGCAAGGCAATATATAAACATATATATTTATCTGAATTTATCTTAATCCACAGTCAAGTTAGTTGAGCTTACCTGCGTATGGGGCCCGAATCGAGCGCCGATAGCAGCGCCAGATACGAATTGTAATTGTTCATTTTGCGCAAGTGTTTCATGATCTTAATAAACTTATTCACATGCTTCTCCCGCTCTTTGGCGTCCTGCAGGCGCAAGATTTTGGAACGTGCCCAATAGGACATTTTGTTAAAGTGCTCGGTGAACTTATTGAGATTAGGTGATTTCTCCTCGCACTGATCTTTGGCAAATAATAATACTTCGGGTATTTCGATTTTCTGAAAGAGCTCCGCATCCAGCAGCGTCATCTGTTCGGCTATCTCCAGTGACTTCAAGTCGAGCAGACTGAGCTGATTGTTGCTATTGCTGCCGCTGCCCAATTGTTCGGGTATATAGGCATAGCTGCGCTGATCCTTGTACAGCGTCACCTTCTCCACGAACTTGTTACGCAGCAGCTTGGCCAAATACAGCTGGCCGGAGCAGACCAGCTGATAGACAAACTCCACCAGCAAACTGAGCAGCTGGCTGGTTAGATCCGTTGATCTAATTTGAAAACAATATACATAGGTTCAATTTCAATTTCAATTTCAATCTAATTTCAATTTCATTTCAATCATCACTTACGTTAAATCGTTGACGACGCGCACGAGGAGCGAGAAGGTCTCCTTGGCGGCCTTCTGCTTCTGATCGTGCACCTGGCAGAAGAAGTATGTGTATCGATGGGTCAGCTTCTCGATCACATCGATCGGCTGGATGAAGGTGCGAAAGGTGGTAATGAAGGCCTCGCTGAATTCTGCATGAACGAAATGGACAACAGATGGATTTTGATTAGGCTGAGGACGCTTACGAAATTTTGATACGGTGTTCGAGCTATGAGATGCATTTGTATTGCTCTTATTAGTATTTGTATTAGTATTAGTATTACTATTAGTATTATTGTTATTGTTATTATGTGTGGTCGAGCGATGGCGTCGATGCTGCTGATGATGATGCCTACCATTATCGGCCTTCTGGACGCGACTGGCGTGCACGATCAGTGCATCAATGTAGCCGCCCTTAACCTCGGGCCCATCCTCGTCCTTCTTTTTGAGTATTAGGTATGGCGTTATGTCGATCTCTTCGAGCATATTTGGCAATTGATTATCGACCTCTCCCTCTTCTTCCTCCTCCTCCTCGTCGTCATCTTCCTCCTCCTCCTCTTCCATCTCATCGACCTCCTCTTCGTCCAGCTCAGCAAGCGCATGCTCTCTGGCCAATGGATCTGGCACCAGCGCCTCGTTCGTATCCAACAATTTGGGCGTACTGATGGGCGTGGCCAGTTGCTCCGCTGCACCGGCCAACGTTTCGCTGGGCAATTGGTGCGAGTGGCAATAGAAGGTGGAGCCGCCCACATTCTCATTGCTATCCACCACAGCCGTTGGCATCGCAGTGGCCGTGGTGCTGTCCGTGGGCTCATCCTTCGGATTGGACGCATCGTGCAGCTCCTCGCAGACGGTGGTCATGCGGCTGTTCCGTAACGCCGTATCGCCCATCGCCATTGGCTTTGGACTGGCTGGAGGTGTGGTTATGATCGCTGGCGGCGTCGCTCCCGATAGCGTCGACATCGTCGTTGACGACTTGCGCTGCTTGTAGTTCTTCGGCGGCAGCGCAGGCGGTGTCTCCAGCTTGCTCACCGACATTATGCTAAAGCAAGAGCAAGGACAAGAAGAGGAAGAGCAGTTAGAGCAATTGCCATGGGTATATACCACATCTGATATGACTTACTTCATGGTCTGGCTATGCGACATGTTGCGGCTGGTGTTGTACGCGTGCACCGTATGCCGATTCTGCGCTACGGAATTCGCCGAACAGACTTCCATGTAAGCCAAAACTGTGTGCGTTTCAAGTGGCGATGGGTGGGGGGGGAGAAGAGAATAGAGAAAAAAATAAAACAGAATGTAAATGCACCTGTCACAACAATTGAAAGCAAAATGAAACAGGGGAAACACAAACGAAAACAAGCGCAACGAACGAAGCGATCAAGCTGACAACAGTTCCAATCAATGAATGTGGGGGATCTGCGCTCCACTTGGCTCCATGTGCCATAAGCACCAGTTACTGATAGAACGCACAAGTACAAATAGACATATATGTACATATACATAGGTAGAGCAACTGGACTAGGTGCCAAGCGGAACCCTTAAAACGTCAGTAGATATTTGCTTAGAATATATTATATATATACTGCATATAATATATATAATTACACTATCGGAGTTTGTAACTATAACATGGAACGCTTGGAATTGAAACACCATCCAAATAACTTGTTAATAATTCTTTGCATTTTTTTTTTAATACATATTAGAATTTACTTCCATGAATGGAACGTTTCGTTTTCCAAAATTAAAAAATTAAAATTATATAAAAAATTAACTCCCCAAATTAATCATAATAATATTATGGAACGTTTGGTAAAGAAACACTTTTAGCAATTTCCCACATTTTTGTAAGAATTTATACTCATTTTGAAGGTCATCTTCCATTTTGCAGCCTTTCTCATTTTCAGCTGCAACAACTTGATTTCATTTCACTCCATCTCCCGTCTTGCCTGTACAGTATTCATTCGCTTTGACATATGCAACAGGTAAGCGCTGAACAACAAACAACATAAGCAATAGCACAACTCAAGGAAATTGGAGACGAGAGGGGTGCGGCGCAGCTCAAATATAACAGCGAAATAGAACAAAGCTCAATCAGAACCAGAACCGAGTCGGAACTAGTTCCGATGCAACAGCAATGGGCTGCAAAGCAAGGAGAATGCTTCGTATAGCAGGCTCTATTTGAACTCTAAGCGAGATGTTAAATGAAACGCTTTGAAATGAAACATTTAGCTCTCTAGATTTTCAACTCAACAAAGCCTGAATTTATCATTACAAAATGAAACTTTTCAGCCAAAGCAGCTAAAGCAGTTTCCTTAGAAAGGGCATGGAACATAATGGAAATTGAACATTTAGACATTTTACTTCTCAAGAAATCACGACCGAATAGCTAAGTTTATCATTATGAAATGGAACATTTGGCAATGGAACAGTTTTAAAATAGTACAGCTCGCAAAACTACATAGTTCTGTTACCAGCGTTTCACTCAAGATAAGCCCCATTCCAAAATATCCTTGCAAGCGTTTCATTGTCAGCGTTTCTGGAAACTAATGGAATTCTTGTTTATTTCACAACAGCCGAAGAGGATTGCAAATTTGGAATTCGAAAAAAACAAATATTTGGAAAAAACAAGGAACGATAAAAACGGAAACAAAGTCAAAAACGAAAAACGTGGCGAACAGAGCAGCTAGCAACTGGACTTACCCGAGAAGGCGACACTCTGAAACACTAGATGTTGATTGGAACGATAATTTAGATGGGTTAGAGTTTTGCGTACAACAATTTGGCAAGGTTTTTTAATTTGGTATTGCTCAGTGGCGATATTGTTACGAGTGCTATAAATAAAAGTGTGTTGCTACAAATTCTTAACTGCCCACTACAAAAACATAGCTATATATATACATCGATATATTCTATATATCTGAATAAAATGTTATATATATATATATATGTATGTATATGTAGATGCATTTGTATTGCTGAATGATTGTTGTTGTTGGCTGTTGGATGATTGTTGTTGTTGTTGTTGTAGTTGACTGATTGTTGTTGCTGTTGTTGTTGTTGCTTGTTGTTGCTAATTTTTGTTGTTGTTGTTGCTGTCTTCATCTGGTATATGGGATGGGTTTAAGGGGTTTTTGATGGGGGGGGGCGGGACACGTGCTTGCAAGTTTTTGTTTTTGTTTTTGTTTTTGTTTTTGTTTTCCCTATTGATGCTTCTTTTGTTTTTGTTGTGGCATTTGATTTAAAGAACCAAACAATAATTTTGTTTAATGTATTGCATGTTCTTGTTGCTGTTGTTGTTTTTGTAAATGCGAAACAAAACAAAATCCAAACAAAATGCCAAAAAGAAAGTCATCTAATATGACTTCAAATGAGCTTTGTGTGTGTTTTGTGTGTGTGTGCGGCTAATAGGCTCTACATATCAAACACACCCATGCACACACGCACACACACACAGATCCATAACATAATCTTAACAGAAAACAAAAAACAAAGTTTCAAAAACTCACCGCTGGGCATTGCTTGTGGCGACACCTAGCGTTCAAGTTCGGCAAACACAATTCATATATAAACATGCAAATTGTTACACACATACATAGGCATATATGTATGTATATGTACATGTACACACGCCAATGCAGTTTACACCAAATTAGACAGAAAAAAAAAATACCAAAAGAAAAAAAAAACAAAGAGAAGACAAAAGAGAAACAGAAATTGTAAATATGTGTGCGCATTTGGCAATTGCACTTACTGTGCGTTGTCTTCTTGGGCAACGGCGGCGGCTTCTCCGACTGCCCGTCGAAGGCGCTGCTACAGCTGGTGGGCAAATGGGCGCTGCGCGGCGGCGGCTCCATCAGGCTGTGATGCTTGGAATGCCACTGCAGATGCGTCGACGACGCATGATGGTGCGGCGACAATTGACGCAGCTCTGCCATTTCGCTGCAATGTTAGAAAGAGATAAGAGAAAAATATGTATAAAAAAATATGCAACACAAAATACAAACTTCCGTTAGAGTTTGAGCTACTGGAATATTTTATGCTGGCAGCGCTGTTTCGTTTAATTCAGCGTAACTTAACGAAAGCATTGCCAAGCGCAACAAGTTTGCTCTAATCGACGCTGCTTGACTACGAGATTCCCTGTATATTCTTTTTGTATGAATACAGAAGAAAACACATGCATACACGCATACATATGCATAGGCACACGCTACGCTTGGGCCGCCTTATTGTAATTTATAGGTTAATTACTTTGTGGTAATTATATGGTAAATGGCAAATAAATAGGTAAAAGAATAACTTCCGATTTTTTAAATCTGTGCATGCCATAGATGTATAAATACACAACATTTTCTAAGATCGACACGTCCACACATACGGACAGACATTCAGACGGACGGACTCAGTTTGTCGGTTCTGCCCTTATATCCAGATTTCTCATATTCGCTTACAAATTGCAATCGTCCAGCACATCCATCGCCGCGTCGAGCAACTTCATGGCAGCCCGTGACTTCATTTTAGGTGGCAGCGCCGGCGCCATCTCCGGCGAGGAGCAGTTGCTGCCCAGCGCCTGCAATTGCTCGCTGCTAATTGTTGTTGCCGTCGCATTGCTGCTGCTGCTGCTGTTGCTGGTGATGTGGCGTTGCGTTTGGCTCATCTGATGGAAGTCATTGTTGCTGCTGTTGCTTCGACTCGTCGTTGATGCCGATGTGGTTGTTGTTGTTGTTGTTGTTGTGTTTGACGACAACGAGGAGGCGGAGGTCAGCTCGCTAATGCCGAAAACAATCTCCGAATTGCTGCTCGATGATTTCGTCGAAGACTGCACGCTGTGCTCCGAGGAGCGCTTCGAAACGCTCTGCGTGGAGGTGCGAAATGACATCATCGACACGAAGCCTGGATTAAAGAATAAAACAAAAACGTAATTAGCATGATTAAGTTTAGTCACGACAAATTATCAGTAACAAGTTAACAACACTAGCCAAATAATAATAATATTAATCATACTCGCAAATATTCAAAGCTAAATAAATACAAAACAAAAGGCTGCAAAGCCAAGCGGTTTCGTTCAGTTAAATCGAACCGATTCAGTTCAGTTTTTTTTTTTTCAGTTTACATTTGAGTTTGTATAAACGGTTTCGTTCAGTTAAATCCGTTTGTTTCTTCTTTTGGAATCATTTCGTTTTTTTGAACTACTTTCAAATATTTCGTTCAATTGAAGCCGTTGAATCGTTAAGTGTTTCGTTAAGTTTCAATCGTTTTGTTCGCTCGTTACTTTAAATTGATTTCTTTTTAGTCCTTTTTATAGTGTGTAATGGAACCAAAGTGGTTCCGTTCCGTTCGATTTGCAGCCTTTTGAAGCTTTTTGCAGCCAATGAAGAGACATTAGACGCTTACACTAGGCTAATACAAACAAACAATATTAATACAAATAAAAATACAAGCGAAAAAAAAAAAAAACAATTCTATCTAAAGTAAAAGATATTCAGAAAGATACAGCAAGTATATATACAATGAACTGGTTCACATTTGACAAAGAAATTCTTGTTTAAAAAAAGCGTTCTGAAAAATAAATAACTTAACGAAAAGTTATTTGATCAGAACGATTTCTTGTATAACTTTTAGCCAAATAGAACCAGTTCGAAAATACATAGAGAGAGAAAGAGAGAACGTAGCGATAGAAGTAGCTAAAGCAGTAGAAGTATAGAGGAAATACCCGATTCATTCGAATGACGATTGCTGGTTAACTCAGCCGCCGCTGTGCGCAGCTCCGTATTGACTTCAGTGGCGCCGGAACCAGAACCAGAACCTGCACCAGAGCCTGAACCTACACCAAAGCCCGGTGCAGGATCAGAGCTGGCGGCCGGCAAATGCGGCGTCAGCTGGACGCTGCTCATGCCCGCCTCCTGGGACAAGGCGTTGGCAATACCAGCAGGAGCAGCTGCAGCAGCGTTCGGATTCTCTGCTGAGCGCATTGGGGAAGTTGAGTTGTAGTTTGAGTTGGAGCTGCATCGGTTAGTGGTTGTTGCTAGCGGATACTCACTGTAGCTGATGAGCTTGTCGACATCGTCGTCCAGCTGTTGATGCTGCTGATGGTGCAGCGTTCTCGATGGCGGCTTCTGCAATTGATCCTCCTCCTCGCGTGAATGATTCAGCGCCGAGTCGAACGAGCATTGGCTGTTCTCGTCGGGTGAACGGGAACGCACCGAAAGGCTGCAAATGAACGAACGAACCAGTGAGTAAACTTTGAATGCGAGACAGTAGTTCATAAAGTGAACCATTGGGCTCAGAAGAAGGGAGCCAGAATGAATCCAATTGAACGGATTACAAAGTAATCAGTAAATGAACTAGTTGGAGATAATTATAATGATCACGTAGTAGATTATAGCTATTGAACTAAAGTTCATCAAAAGTTAGAGTCAAGTGAACAAGTATAACAAATATTCAAATTAGTTTTAGGGAACAGAATCAGTAAATGAACTAGTTAAAGGATGGAACATCGAAGGAAACATTGAACAGATTGTCTAAGGATAATTAAGAGTCAGTTAAAAGAGTTAGTAAATGAACTAGTGAGAGAAACTCGCTTAAAGAAAGATAAGGAACCAGTTAATGAGAAAAGCGATCCACTAAATATAAATCTAAGATATTCAACTAACCGATCTACGCCGTAGTTAAGCAGCGAGAAATTCGAACTGCAGTCCAGATCCGAATTGATGCTGATGTTGTGCGACTGCGCATAGGGCAACGGGCTATTCGCCTGCGACGAGTGACAGTTGCTGTTCGCATTGGTATTGCTATTGCTATTGGCATTGGCATTGTTATTGGTATTGGTATTGATATTGGTATTGATATTGGTATTGTTATTGGTATTCATATTGCTATTGGACGCATTGACATTCGCCAGCTGCGATTGCGGCTGGCTGCGACGCTTTGGTGGTAACGGCGGCGGATTGCTCGACCGATTGGGCAGCGGCGGCTTTGGCGGCGGGCTCGTGTCGCGCAGTATGCTCTCGGTGCTGTGAGAGCCGCGCATCGGATTCACATTGCTCTGCTCCAGTATGTCGCGCTCCTTGGGCGTCAGCGCAATGTCCGGCAGCGACGTGCGCTGCGCGACCGCAGCCGCCGCGGCCGCATCGGTCGGCGTATGCAGTCCGGGCACACTACCGCCCGCCGTGCTGGCGGCGGTCACGGCGCCCATTATGTCGGCGGCGGCACCGATGCCGCCCAGGCCACCGCCGCTGTAGCGAAACGTGCACTGATCCTGCTCCTTGAGTTTGCCCTGCGCCAGTGTGACCAGATTCTGTAAGCAACAAATGACAATTTTAGTATTTTAGTTGTTTAAATACCGAATCGAGGCTCAGTTCACAGCTCGATTACAGCTTTAGCTGCAATTTGAACAGAAGCTTCTGGATTTTTTAGTACCACATTTTGAATTGGCACATTTTGAATTTGCATTTAAAAGTCAACTATTAATTAATATTTAGAGAGCATTTTTTTTAAATTTACCTCAAACAAGATTTTCAGTTAGACTTTTGTTTATAAGATTTATAAGAAATTTCAAAAGTTTCAAGTGTTTCAATCATAACATTTCTACTTTAGAGTAATGTAATTAGTTAATAATTAATTAGTTAAGCTGTGCATTGTAGCAGGTGGTTAATTGAGAGCACAGTAACAGGCACTTAGTTGGCCTTTGCGAAGGCCGATAACTGACTACGATTCAATTAAAAGCCAACTAAAGCGGACAAAGCGAAAACGAGAAATGATGGCTTAATGGCTTAATTGCTTTACATGCGACATCGTGCTGATTAACTAACTGACAGTTAAGTGCGCAACACTAACTGTCAGTTAGTCACAAAGGGAAATCAGATCGAGTGCAAAGCTAAGCAAAGCAAAAAAATAGGACAAAGGCTGCACAAAGGACTATCCTGACATAGATTGAGGTTATATTCGATTAACTTCCAGTTAAGTTTAACATGCAGTTATACTATACTTACGCGCACAGCATCCTCGAGCAGATCGATGACCTCACGGACGTTCTCATTGCTCAGGGAGGCGCATTCGGTGCTCTTTTCGCTCAGCATCACCTCGTCGCAGAGCTTGATGAGCTTGCCAAGCGATTGATACACCTGCTGGGTGGCCGAGCTCATGATGGCACTGTTCTCGTTCAGTGTGTACGACTGGATGACTGCAAGCGGGGAGAGGACGCTTTTGTTATTGATCTTTGATCTGTTGGCGGGGGGAACGAGATTACTCATTGCGAGACTCACCGGAATACATGCTGGCAATGGTCTCCAGGATGACGGTGCCATTGCCGGGCAGCACTTCCAGCTTCTTTCTGAGTATGACATCGCGAAAGTGTTTGAGCGCATTCGAAATGTCCTTGACGTGCGTCTCCAGCGTCTGTGTGGATCGCTGCACCTCCTCGGTGGTGGGCGGCGGCTTGGTGGCATGCTTATTGCGCGGACTGTGCGGCGAATGCGACCGGCCGAGCGTGTTGTTTGTGGTGCGCATCAGTGAGATTTTCTCAATCAGATCGTCCTTGAAGGAGCGCGCTCGTCGCGCCAATTTTGTGCCCTTCAAACTGTTCTTATGGCCGGACGATCCACTGACGCCACCACCGCCGCCGCCGCCCGATGACGACGAGGACGATGTGCTGCTCGGTGGTGCAGGTGGCACGCCACCGGCTCGTCCGCTCTGCAACGGTGTTGTCGGCGGCTGTGGCGGCGGCGTCGATGATGCGCTGGAAGAGTGAGCCGCGTAGATGCTGCCACTGTTGATGCTGTTGTTGCTGCTGCTGTTGCAGCCGCCGCCGCCCGACCCCGAGCAATTACTGGGCGTGGATGGAGAACTGATGCTGCCGTCTATAGATAGATAAAACATTATCTTCAATTAGCTATTTTCGATCTATATATATGTATGTATATGTAATTTCAATTGGGATTTGCAATCGAGAGCTGCATGATCTGTATTTGACTGTTGGATTATTCAACTGGATATTCGTTTCGTTCTCTGTGCAATAATAGGCAACTCACACACACACACACACACACACATACTCACACACGCAAAGACCTATCACGCATTCATGATTCATTGCATTCAGTCATGATTCAGTTGTATTATGCAGCGCCTATTAAGCACTTATCGAATTGCAAGAATACGGTTCACGTACCACTATATCAGAGCACGTTCTCATAGCGCATACCCTGTAATCAGCCATGAATATCTACGATATCATATGTAAGCTCCAATTGTAAGCTACATCTACATTTTGTCCCTTGACTAGACTCAGAGGCAGTAGGGATTACCTCCAGTGATATGAGATATAGTAAATATATATATTTTATCTAGAGGTAGATGCACCTAAGAGAATATCTATGCACTATATATAATATATAACTGTGTACTATAGATTCAATTGCATAAAAGATACAAGTCTAACTATAATAAAGCTCTGTAGCTCTGTAGTGCATCAATAAGTCGTGCATTCCCTAACAAAATTAAGTTTTGAATTTATTCATATATCGATCATAATCGAATATAATAGTCATATATACATATATTATAAGTATAGATGTAATTAGTGATACGATGTGGTTTTGTATTAAAAAAAAAAAAAAAAAAAAAAAAAAATATTGATTTATTTTTCGTTTTTTAATATTAACAGATATGTTTATATAACTTAAAATATCATCACAATTATGATATGATTATAGTTTTTTTTTAAGAGGATTAATTATTGAAATATTTCAATATATGCATATATACATATATTCATATATATACATATATATTTATAATCTTGAGTATTTTCGTAAATTTTTTGCTACTTTTGGTTTTTTCGCTGCGGATGATAATGAATTATATATGTATATATAGTACTACATATAGTATATTCCCAAGTATAATATATAAAAATTTCGTGTATATGAACTTGTCAAATATATATATGTTTTTATATAACATATTTATACTTAGTCATGAACTCTGTGTTTCGAAGACCTTCACGTGTCGCTTTTTAACACATTCAACGAAAATTTCAGATATACTATACTATATACATACATCATATATATTAGGCTATACATATATATAGATTCATATTCACTATCCGTTCGCGTCATAGGAGATTTGTTGTTTTGTTTATGCGATGATTGTTTTAAATTGCCGATGGAAATCAAATGTGAATTGTAGAAAGAAATGGAAAGAGCGAAACGAGCGCAGAAAGGAGATCGAAAAGGTGATACTCTGACACATCGGAAGCGATAACTCGATAACACTCGCCTGCCGATAAAGGAAAGCACAAAGCGACAGACTGACAGGTGAATACTTATCGATAAAAATGAAGGACATGAGGCATCAATCGATATGTTGCTATCGATAACAGCTCTAAAGGATCGAGTGAGAGTAGGCAAACAAGTTATAAAACAAAAACTTTGGGAACGCGATTTTTATCGATATTCAGCTATCGATAACAAACTTGAAATGAAGGCAGCTGCAGTAAAACAAGTAAAGTAAACAGTTATGAATCGATAACATCAGTGGCAGCTGCAGCAAACTTGTATCGTTATTGAGCTATCGAGAGCAGGTTTCGTTTAGGCGCCAGCTTAAGCTCATTTAGCTAATATGCTCCATTTGGCATAGGGCATGCAACATGTGCCGCTGCTATTTGATTTGCATGATGAACGACGGCAACCACACGGCAAACGAGCCAAAATGCCAAACGGTAAACGAACCACGGCCGCCCACCCAGACCCAAATCACGAGAGAGAGAGACAGAAAACAAAAAGCAAAAAACAAAAACAAACAAACAAATAATAGAAAACCCGCAATGAACACACATATCTGCAGAGATGTAAGTATGTGTGTGTGTGTATGGGTGTGTGTGTGTGTGTGTGTGTGTGTGCAGACATATGCATACTTGTTGTAGCTTTCACTTACAGAGCAACACATTCTTGACCAGCAAATACGATGGTGTCAATGGTGTGCATTGAGGTGTTGTTGCTGGTGTTGTTGGTGTTGTTGCTGCTGTTGATAAAGCCAAACGTGGCAATTTTGTATATTCGCGCCGCCTGTGGAATTTGATGTCATGCAGCGTTGCGTTGTTGTTGTTGTTGTTGTTGTAGTTGCTGCCGCTGCTGCTGCTGCTGCAGCTATTGTTGTTGTTGTTATCACGCTTTGACCAACGCGCACACTGATTTGATTGCTGCTGTTGTTGTTGTTGTTGTTGCTGATCATGTTGATCATCTGGCAGCGGTTGCTTCACCGTATACGAATAGAAACGCCAGCGTTCGGCCAGCGCGCAGTCGCTCAAAAAAGTTTCATCAAATTGCGGCATTTTACAATTGCATAACAACAACAACAACAACAGCAGCGGCAACAGCCAGCACACATAACAGGTGTTTAGGCATATGTGTGCGTGTGTGCGTGTTTATATATTATGATGTCAAGCGTTACATTCACAGCACTTTATGAGCTATAAAACTGTTTCAATTTTATCTTTTCTCTTCCGTCTTGCTTTTTTTTTCCTTTTTTTTTTGGCACTTTTCAAGAGCAATTGTCGCCGCTGTTGTTTGCCAATTAAATAAATCAGAGAACTGTGTATATATATATATATCTTTGTATATTTAGAGAGACGCGCGGCAGCTGCTGTCGTCAGCGTTGTCGTCTGGAAAGCGCACTGAACTATGAAAATCCGCAAAACGGCAATCGCCAGCAGCAGCAGCAGACGCCGTAGCCGTCGTAGCCGCAGCAGCAGCAGCAGCAACAGCCCGAGCCAGTCGCCAGGTCCGCTAACCAGCCATTAAGCAACAACAACAACAACAGCAACAACAACGCAGAGCAGCGCATCAAATGGTACTCGCTCCCAACACAACTTGACTAGAGAAGACGTAGACGCAAATGAAGACTTGCTCGCACAGCAACAACAACAACAACGGCAGCAACAACAACGGCAGCAACAACAATGGCAAACATTGTCCGGCAACAACAACAGCAACAACATTTACACTCACTTAACATTCACTGATAGACAGCTAAGCAACAACAACAACATTCACAGCTTTTTGACTCTCGCGTTCCGTTGCTCCGTTGCTCTCTGTTATCATTTGGCTTGTCAACTCTCTCTCCCATACTCTCTCTCTCTCTCTCCCTCATACATTCTCTTTGCTTATTGACAAACAGCAAACATAGCAACGCATTGCATACCCTATAAACAAATAGTTAGAGGGAGAGAGAGCACAATATATACATATATACAAATATTTAAATCATACGTATATATAATATATATATACCTCCTCCTAATTTCTCTCGGAATATGCATAGCATCATTATAGAAAACTTAAGCCTTTGTTCTTGTTCTCAATTTCCATATACACTTTACGAGTGCTTCAAAATGTTGTCATAAAAAAATATTTAATGCCTAGTGGGATATGCTAAAAATGTTGACCTGGAAACAATTGATTAACATATATTATACTAATGCGGGGCTTTTGTCTTTAAATAAAGGTCTAAAAATAAGATTCTATGCCATAAAAATACTGTTTCCAATCGTAGAAACCTTTATATGTATATATGTATATATTGTTAAGCAAAAATTGGAGTAAGAAACTAATTTTCTTAAAT